ATATTAATAAAAAATAAATTTTATTACCAGGCACATTGGTAACACTAGTATTCCATCCATTCTGAAACGAGGAAAGAGCAGAAACAAACGCAACAAACAAACAGTATCCAGGTAAATTCGCGTCTTTCGAGTCAGGTAAGCTATCTTGTCCTGTGACGGTGGACATTTTTATTTATTATGAAATATGAAAATGAGGACAAAAACATGATTAAATATATAATTTGGGCTGATGCATCAGAAGTTACCGGTTACCACTCAGGATCGATAGATTAAAAGATGAGGATTTTGATTAATATTTCTTTTTCATGAGTTCACCAGAATTTTACAAAGATTCAAAACCGATACAGTGAAACCATATGAGTGTGCATTTAGGACGGGTATGCATTTATTTAAAGATCTTATAAACTTGTGAATGAATCAGAATACAGTCAGACCTACCTAAGTGCAATTCGTCGGGACCATACAAAAACTTGCACTTAGAGAGGTATTGCATTTATGGAGGCACAAATAAATATATATCTTAAAAGTTGGGCTAAATTAGAACGTGCATTTAGAGAATCGTTACACTTAGGGGTTGCACTTAGGGAGGTCTGACTGCATGCATTTTGGGGGTTAATTAATGGAGATAATATGTTTCCATGTTCGCAATATTATTTTATTGGATGGGATGATTATGTAAGGCGTATAAAAGCGAATTCTTTCAGAACAATATATTAAAAAAATTTACCCACTGAGCATTCGGTTGTGTAAAGGAATACCTTGAGAGCGTTTTATTGGATACATCAGTCTAATTGTCACTCAGAATTCGTTGATCGTTTCGAACAACGTTCGGTAGAAATGTTTTTAATAAAAAAAACCTTGCAAAGATGATTCAGAATCTATCATCTATATTTACAACATGCCAAATGAAAATTTATATATAGCAGTAGTTTGACACATAAAACGTATAGTAAGCTTTCGCATTGTCATATTCCGTTTCAGAACATTACTTATTTCTGCTGGTTTTTTGAGCCATTGAAACGTATTTCCAGAAATTGATCTGATTAGCGTTTTTTCGATTTTGTCCTTGTCAGGTATGATTTTCTATTAAGGGATATTAGAAATTAAAACTATCTGCCAACGAATTGTTAATATACAAGTAAAAGAGTAGATACGCTATGTGCCGGCTTTTCTAGATGTTTCAGCAACCACCCCAAAATTTTTGCAACGTTAAGAATAAAGTTTTTTTGAATATAGTTCATGACATGTACGTACATGTTAGTGATTCGGGCTAAAGTACATGTATTTAGCACCAAATTTTCTGCAAAATTAGGACTTATATGATAATTCAAAGTCCGGAATATTTAGGACTTTGAAAAGTACTTTAGCCCGAATCATTAGTACATGTATCACAATAAGATTTCTATATTTATCTAACGATAAAATAGCACATGTACATGTACGTATTGTATTGGTATAGCATCTCATTATTAAAAATTCAATTTGTATTACAAGCTGTTGGAAACGAGATATGTACTTATCGTAATCGTAATCGTTATCGTTATGAAATTCTATAAACAACTTCTATTTTTCCTATCAATATACAGTCAACTCTCTTTAAATGCACACCGCTGAGAGACATATAAAAATCAAAGCTGATAATGCATTTAGAGAATTTTGTGCATTTATAGAGAACATTTTACTTAGTAATATTATTAAATTGGGACCGAACCAGGGCGTGCATTTATAGAATAGAAACATAGTGTGTGCATTTAAAGAGAGTAAACTGTTCGTACATGTAGTATTAAATTTTGTTACAATCAGACCTCCCTAAGTGCCTCCAAGTGCAATTATTCTCTAAATGCGCGTTCTAATTTAGCCCCAACTTTTAAGATATATATGTATTTTTACCTATACCTCTCTAAGTGCAAGTTTTTGTATGGTTAATCCTTGTCGGTAGCCGTAAAATTGAGGTCATATGACCTCAGACAATTATTTACAGTTTATTCCATGTTGTTCATGTACATAACGTTGGTGAATTTCCATGTAAATTTTACTTTTCATAGAACTCGAAAAATTAATTAAAAATTAATTAATATGATTAAATAATTAACATATCATTGTGTAGCTAACTAAGAAGTAAATACAAAATTTAACTGGAAATATTATAGAAAAGGACTTCTTGATAATATTACCAGTTAAATTTGGATTTACTTTTTAGCTATTTATAAAACTCAAGCAATTAAAAAACAAATTCAGATTGAAAATTTTAATAAAAAATAATTTTCTTTCAAATATAAAAACTTTATATAATGTACTGTTTAGAACAATCGAAAAAAATTATAATTTATTTAGTTTCTATTTTAGTAACTCAGGTTTTATAGATACGTACAAAATAGATCAAACTTTACATGTAAATTTCTGAGAAGTTAACTTTCAAGTTCTATAAGTGGTAAAGAAATGAAATATGCATCAGAAAGTTTCAAGAATTAAGAAAAACAGTTTAGTAGATAGAATATTTCGATTGTGTTATTATTATAACTTTTTATTAATTTAGAAATATTATTTAGGTAAATTAGCTAAATACTAAATAATTTCTTAAATCAAATTGGTTTGAGATATTTAGGTTACAAAAATTTTAATATACTATTATAAACAGTTTTATTCATGTTAAAATTATCGAGACAATTATAATACTTTCATGAATTAGCCTATTTTGATTTATAAGCTTCTTTTACATTAAAATTTTTCACAATTGATAAATAAAATTCTGTTATCGAATAATATGTAATATCTATTTATTACCTATCTAAAATTACAAGAAATATTAATCAATTAATACAAATAATCAAGTTAATAAATACAATTAATTAAACTAATTTTAATTATATATATAATTATATTGTTAATAATAAATTTTTATAAATGTAATTTTATTATAAGAATAAATATATTTCTAATAACTATTATTTGTAATAACCATATTTTAATTAATTAATTAAGTTTTTAGTTATAATTAAAGTTATAATTCTGAATATATAATTGATTGATATTGAAATAATTATATATAATATTAATTATAATTAAATTACTTTTTATTATAAATATAATTATAATAAATTATAAAAAGTTTTACGAAATATAAAATAATAATAAGTAAATTTTTCAAGTATATCTAAAAAAATATAAAATATTTATTATATATGTTAAGTATTAATTAAATCTAGATAACTAAAATTAGTACTGAAAATAATTATAATAAATTCATTTTAATAAATTAAATTTTATAAATTTTTTACTAATAGCTCAAATACTTTGTTATTTAATTAAATTTTTAAATAATTATTCTTTTTATAATTATATTAAAAATCTTTTTATAATAATTTTTTTCAAGTACTAATTGTAATAAAAGCATTTATTTATAAGTATATTTATTATAAAATCTTTATAAGATTATTTTTGAAAAAAATTATTATTAAATCTAATAATATAATTATAAAAAGAGTTAATTATGTTCAAATTTAATTATAATTAAAATATATAATATAATTATATTATTTTTAAATTTTAATTTTTATAAATAAAATATTTAATTATTATTAGAATATAAATTAATAAAGACAATTAAAAATAATGTAATGCAAAAAAATTATTAATAAAATATAGTAAAATTAGAAAAAAATATGTTTTTCTCTTTAAAAAAATAATATTAAGTTTTATTTAAATTTAAAAAATTTTGAATAAAAAAGAAAAACTCGTATTTTTTATATTTTTACTATATTTTATTAATTAAGTTTTTGTATTATATTTTTATTATTATTATTTTTTTATTATAAAATATTTATTCAATAAAATTACTAATTTTTTTTAAAAAAATAATATTAAATTTTATTTAAATTTAAAAAAATTTTAAATAAAAATTATATATATAATAACAATTAAAAAAATATAGCAACAAAAAATAGTAATAAATATATTAAATTATAAATTAAATTTAAATTTTATAATATTTTTTAATTATATATAAGTAATAATCATAAATAATATAATAATATCAAAATTTATTAATTAAATATAGTAAAATATAGTTTTTTACTTTATATAAAGTTTTCAATTTTATTAATAAATATTTTTTATTTTTATATTAAAATAAAGATAATAGTATATATTTTAATATATATTTTTTTCAGATTTTTTAGATTTAATCTGATGAAATTATTCTAATAATATATAAAGTTAATTATTTTTTATAATTAAAACATATAAAAAATAATTGATTTTATATATAATCAAAATAGGTTTATTATATTAACTCTGAAAAATCTGAAAAAAATATATTAAATATATAATATTATTTTTATTTAATATAAAAATAAAAAGAAAAATTCATATTTTACTATATTTAATTAATTAATTTTGATATTATACATTATTTTTGATTATCACTATATGTACTAACTTTAGAAAAATATTAGAAAATATATTGAAAATTAACTAAAATTATAAAAATGCTAATTCCAAAAATATTTAAAATATATCAAAAAAATCCAAAAATTTGCTGAAATTCTTTCAGAAAAAAATAAAAGTTTCTGTAACTAAATCAGAAATTTATTAAATGAACTAGAGAATTTTCAGAATTTAAATAAAAAAATGATTTTGAAAGATATTTTAGGCAAAAACAGTTGTTTTCTGAATATATTAAAAAAACTCAGAAAATTATCCAGATATTTTCAAGAAAAACAGGTTTTTAAATTTTTTTCTAAATCGTTATTCCAAAAAATTTCCTGAGTTTTTTATTGGTTATAATAAAACATTATAGTTAGAAATAAATTAATTTTTGCTAATTGTAATTGAAAAAAATGTAACAATATTACAATTTACTAATAAAATATTGTAAAATGCAATTTTTTAGATTTAATTGAGATGTAAAGTAAATTACAAAAACGTTCTCAGATTAAAATATTGAAATATGAATTTTTATTTTTATAAAAATAATAATATTAGTAAAATTGAAAAGTTTTTTATAAAAAAAATTCAAATCGAATAATGATACCTTCGAATCAAATGCTGAATAAAAAATAACAATGTATATATTTTTTTAAAATATGTAAAAAATTATTTATTTAAAATGAATGATTTATATACGTATATTTGTAAATGGGATGTGAAATCGGTCCAAATTAGGATAGGGTATGACTAGAGTTAAAGTAAGGGAAAGGTTAGTGCTGTTGAAGATTAGTGTTTATCGAAAGTTTCTAAGTCTAAACTAAGTGGATTTCGAATCCACCAATATTCCATTCCCACTTATAGCATATATACGTATTTATTACCGTTATATATATATTTCAAATTGATGAACAAGTATTTTAATATAATAAAGTAATAATCCAATCTATTAAGTAATTGTTGTGCAGACTTATTATAGGAAAAGCTGAATATTTGGTCTTGTGATTGTATTTACTGCAGCCATAGTACCTGTTGATAGTGTATCAAGTGATTAATGTTATGCTCTGATTTTAAATTGCCTTGAAGCATTTGCTGAATATTTTAAATTGTAAAGGTTATTTGCACCATGAGATGAATCTGAATTTCCTGGGTTCCTTTTTATTTTTCTTTGTCTTTATCTTTTCGATTTTTGTTTGTTTTTCTATTGATAATTACCCTCAGTTTTTATACTTTTTTCACTCATTTATCCGAACGTTCAGTTATTCGAAGTAAAACATTTCAGCTAACTAAACTATACAAAACATACATCCGAAGAGAACAGTATGATTACAACTGTTACGATTATAATTCTTGATTGATATACGTCATTTCGGAATTCGAGATCAAGGTACCTTGTTTCGGAATTTGAGATTGAAAATGAAGTAAGTTATTATCGTTATCGTTATGAATATCAGCACCAATGAATCATCCAAACGACATCATCACCTATCGCGCGCTTATCGATTTCACGGCTCAACTTTGGGTAATGTTGCGTTGATTATAATAATTAGTCAAAGAGGAGTTTTTCGCAACAGGGGTGAGAGCTAGACTGAATTATTTACGAGTAAAGGGTTTCTTTGGGCGTTCTAAAGGCTTCCCGTGGCAAATTGTACGCAAATCGACATTAAAGGTAAGGGGCGTTTACAAATTAAAATAAAATTATGATTCAAAATCAATTTAACGATTATAACGCAATAGGACTTATTGATGCGGCCTATTCAAGAAGACAAAGTCAAAAATAAAAGCAATCCAACAAGGCTTATTGGTACGGCCTATCCAAGAAAGGTCAAGACAAAATAACAATCCAAAAGAAATTAACGGCTTATTTAGAGTGGAGGAGCATCCACTACTTGCAATTACTCACAAGGTTTGAAGTTCGACCAATAGAATAAAATAATAGTGTATTCACAAGTAATATTACTATTACGAGTAAGAACTTTGTTATTTTAACTGATCAAAGCATATCTTTCACAGACTCTTTACACTTCTATTTGTACAGTTTTTTCATTATACTAATTACGGGATACTATACCAATTACTACGCTAATTCTAAGGTTAGTATTTTCTTTGAATGTGATTTTCTAGAAAGAATTGAAATAATAATCGTATGATTGTTCCTTTACTATAGATAATCGTCTTTTCCAGATAATCAACACTGTTAAAATATTGACGAACGACGGTGAAGGTGAAAGAAAATGGAAAATTATTCGTAATGAATTATTTCCTGTTTTGATTGACAATGCGATTGGCACGGAATAATTAGGGTCTTCGTGAGGGATCACCGAAGTGTTTACGGTAAGATTTTCATGCAGAAATTACTTGAACATTATTGCGGAATTAAAGGATTTATTGTTACTACGGTAACATTATTTCCTCCTTTTGAAAACTGAGCTTCCGCGAAGAATTTGAGGGATCTCCATGCATGTAGGTCATTACTGCTTCTATTTCGTTTACTTTTAACACTTTTAACGGGTTGACGGGTTCTTTCTTTCTATTCTTGTACAGTTGTTCGTTGATTACTTCGAAGTGTTTTGCTTGCTGCTCTAGACGTCGTCGTTGTTGTTCGTCGAATCCTACGGGATTTCGTCCGTTCGTCAGATATGTTTTTAGATTATTATATTGTTCTAATTCCATGTTTATCGTTGTTATTATTATTGTCGTTTTTACCGTTGTTGTTATTACTATTGTTGTGTTCCTTTTTAATTCGATTTATTTATAAGTTTTATTTTTAGGTTCTACTAACGTTGATCAAGTCGAGAGAGGGTGTCTGCGTTCTGGTTTGTCTTTCCCGCTCGGTATGTTACGGTAAAGGTATACTCCATCATGTCCATGATCCATCGTGAAATGCGGGGTCCTGGATTACTTTGTGGAATAACCACCGAAGAACGTTATGGTCGGTTACGATCTCGAATAACGTTCCTAATAAATAATGTCGGTATTGTCGGACGGCCCACACTACGGCGAGAGCCTCTTTTTCGGTGGTGCTATAATTCTTTTCGGCGGGTTTGAGTGTAACGCGATTACTCTCTCTTTCCCTTGGCTATCCTTTTGCGCAAGCACTGCATCTAGACCAGTATCTGATGCGTCCCATAATGATCGATGCCTAATTCGGCTTCCACATCATCCTCTCGGATGTATCGAGATAGGATAGTCTCCCCGATCTCATTGCATTGGGTATACACTTCCAAAAGGAGTCCTCGTTCGCGAAGCTTCCTGATGGTCCCAGTATTTCGTTGCCAACCTCCTCGGTTAAAACTGAAGACACATTGATGTAGGTAGTCGCAGAAGTATCTTTTCTCGTAGGATCCAGTGATGTACATCTCTCGGGCTTCCATTCACATTTCGCATATTTCACAGGCCGGTAAGTGTAATCGTCTCTCTTGTCACAAGCCATAGCTTGGCGACTTCTGGTTAGGTAGTACATTCTAACATAGTATTTGTCGATATATAATTGACACATTGCTGGATTTGACTCTCGGGATAGATACGCCGCTTGGCTTCTTCGTAATCTTGACATTTCGCGGTGGTCTTATTGGCGAGGAATAATTCTCGTTCGACTTCGGTGGCCCAATCTTCGTTGAGCCCGGTATGGAATATTTCGTTTCATCGCCATCCAGTCCATCAGCTCGTGGTTACATTTTTCGCATCGGTGTGGCCACGTCTGCAGTCTTTTACCGCACCAACAGGTCTTGTAAGGGCCTCTCCAGTCTAAAACCCAAGGTCGATTTTCTTGTTTTTCTAACTGAAATTTTTCTTTCAACTTGTTATAATCATCCCAAGTGTACTTACGCCATGCACCTTCATTCCCTGTATGCCCGTACTTCTCGGATACTCCTTATTGCTCTGGCTACTTGCGGCGTACGCCACCGAAGCAGTCATCGTTAATATTCCGAGGCATAGTTTCTACTGGCGTTCATTTTTCTTTGATGATTATTTCGATACTTTCCTCTTCGAATCTTACATTCTTACGCTTTGGTCTGGTCGTGGTCCAGTCGTCTTGGTTCGCCATCCACATCAGGTAAGTTTTCCCATTCAACTCCTGCTCTTCATATTCTTCTTCGTCTGACGATCTTTCTTCGCTTGACTCCGCCCCAGAATCGTCAGTCGACACATCTTCGATGCTATGGATAAACTTTACCGGAATTTCTCCCTTCTGTCCGTCCCAGTCGAATGTCATTACTCCCTTGCGCAGATTACTACCACCACGGAGGTGATTGCATTTTATTTTTTCTATGATTTTTTAGATTCACTGCCCCGGATGGATGCACTACCGCAAAGGTAGAGGTGGATACACTATCACAGAGGTGATTGCTTTTTATTTTTTTTATGATTTTTAGATTCACTGCCCCGGGTATAGGTGCATTACCACTAAAGTGGATGGATACACTACCGCAAAGGTAGAGGTGGATACATTACCACAGAGGTGATTGCTTTTTATTTTTTTTTATGATTTTTTAGATTCACTGCCCCGGGTATAGGTGCATTACCACTAAAGTGGATGGATGCACTACCGCAAAGGTAGAGGTGGATACACTACCACAGAGGTGATTGCTTTTTATTTTTTTTATGATTTTTTAGATTCACCGCTACTTATTTTTTTATATACTATTTGGGAAAGAAGAATCAACAGCAAACAACGACCCCAGTTTTTACTTTAAAAAAACAAGTAAAAAGTCAGAGAAGAAACTTCGAAGAAAGAAAAGCCAAAGAAACAACTAACAAAACATCTCAGCACAGTGTAAATAGTACTAGCAAGAAAGAAGTGGGGATATACTACCACAAAGGTGATTACTTGGAAGTCTTACAAGCGAGAAAAGTCAAAGGAAAGAATAACGAGACAAAGTCAGCAGCAAAAAAAAAATAAAAGAAACAACTCGCGAATAGCGGTAGCAAGAAAGAAGGGGAAGAAAAATTAATAATCATATACGTTGTAGATCGTTAACGTTAATAAATAACGACATAACCAACCAATCAGAATTAAAGTAAACTTGTCCAAGCCACGCTTTACTGTTACTACATGTATCATGTATTACGCGTCGGTATTTACTATATCGATATCGTGTGATTTGCATTTTTGTACAAGGGTGGGTGATTAGCGATAGCCAATCATCTTGTTATAATTAATTTTTATCCCACAATTTTTGTCAAGTGAAACTCAAGTAATCCAAAATTTGATATATATATCAAATCCACGATATGATAACCGTACTAACACTTGCATTTCAGACGGAAGCATCCCCCGCTGGTCGGGGGCTCTGAACAACCCACCTTCACGCTATGTAAGAGCTTGAAGGAGATGGCGTTGGAGGATCTTCGTGAGACTTTTGTCCTTTTTTGCAATAAGGATCGATAGTAATATAAAACTATACACATGTATTTTTACAAACGTGCAGCTCTTGTTCACTCGGTGGACGAAAGTTAGAGTGATCGACGTAAATAATGTGGTGACTATAATCATAATGTGCAATAGCTCGTTAGAAAGCTAAAATCGTAAGCATTCAAATGACATAAAAAAAATTATGTCAAATCCATCCAACACTCGCAGAAATTGCCAAATTACGGATTTTGAGCGTGACGAAAAAGAAATTGAAGAAACTCTAGACGATCCAAATCCACAGTTCATAACGTTATACACAAATATAAAAAGTTTGGCCGAACCACAGTTGCTTTCCGACGCGGTAGACCACGAATATTAAATTCTAGAGTCACTCGAAGAATAATTAATATTGTAAAAGAAAATCGACAACAAGCAATTAACGAAGTTACCGAAAAATGTAGTACTGCTTTGGAAGTTTCTAAAACCATACGTCGTAATCTTCATGAAAATGGGTTTTTTGGTCGGGTTGGACTAAGAAAACCTTTTATATCCAAGGAAAACCGTCAAAAACGATTAAAATGTTGTCTAAAGAGAAAAGATTGGGTTCGTGAATGGGAATCAGTAATTTAGAGTGATGAATCAAGATATTTAATATTCAGAAATGATTCGCGACAATGTTGACCCCATGAAAAATATGACGTTGATTGTCTTCTTCCTAGTATGAAATCAGGTAATCTGGGAGTAATGGTATGGGGATATTTACTCAATGCACTTGGAGCACTAATCGAGGTTTAAGGTACAATAACCAGGCAAAAATATGTAGAAATACTTGAACAGCATATTAAACTATTTTAGATGAATTTCCAGCTAGTTTTGTTCATCTTTTTCAAGAAATAATCTGGTTAATGAGAAATCTAATAACTTCACTTCCATGACCTGCCCAGAGTCCTGATCTAAATCCAATTGAGCATTTATAAGATGTTTTGGAAAGATAAATTCGTGCATGACCAATTTATCCCAAAATCAAGAATAATTAATGGATGCACTTGCAGGGAAATGGAAAAAAATCAAACTGGAAATTTTGCTGAAAGTATGTCGAGAAGAGTGCAAACTGTAATTGATGCAAATAGGTATCTAATCTGATATTAAATATATATATATATATATGAATAATCCTACATTTGTTAAATAAAATTATATATTTTTTAGGAAATTGTTATTCATATTCCCCATTTTTATTATTTATACCCCTTACGTGATTCTGATTTCAATTCCAATCATTAATGTATTATTCGTTATATACTGTTTGCATTGAGCATTTCATGCGATTATATCATTATCTCTATAACTAATACCTTGTAACTGTCATCATTATGAATTATTATTCAACTTTTATGATCTCTTAATCAACGTGATTTTTTGATTTGGAAAGCATTGCTTTGCTACTGGATCTCTCTTTATTTTCATTGAAATTGGTGACATTTTTAGAAGTGTTAGTAACTTCGTTAATTTGTCATTGAGTTTTAGTTTTTCTTAATTTAAAATATTAGTACATTTCTTTATGATCATATTTACTTTAGTGTTCTATTTGCTCATTTCTTTCAATTTTCTGCTGAACTATAGAAAATGGTGTTCGTATTTCCAATTTTGCATGTGATCTTATATGATTTTCATGTTACAGTTTCTTGTAAATACATTTGAAACTGAGTTTTTATATTTTATTTTTATATTTTGTACTTTTTTCTCTTTGATAAAAATTATGTGGAAAAAAAGAAATTATTTAATAGTATTTACTAATATTACTTTGATAGATAATCAAAGAATTATATTAATGAACTACTATTACCTATTAAAAAATCTGATTCAATAATAGAACGCATTGTATTTAGCAGATTTTCTTTGTCTTGGATAATTATTTGGTGAGTTGCTATGTGAAACTAAAGTTCTTATTTGTATTTATTCTGCTTACTAATTCTATTATTAATATCCTCAGATATCCTGTATATCTTTCTCACATTATTGGAATGATAATAACAATCATTATCTGACAATATCAAAAATTTCATTCATTACTTTGTCTTTTTCAAACAGTTTAAGTTCTCTTATTTTTCAATTTTGAATTCTCTGTATTTTTTGGTGATGACATGGAATTATCAAAATAATAAAAAATTATTCCTAATCAATATATGCTTCATATTTTTATCAGCTTTTTTTGTATTTCTATATTTATCATCCTGAATTTTATTTTATTCAATAGACAATGAAAATTTGTATAATAAGTTCATATTTTCCTGTTTTACTTCTCATTTTTTAATTACTCTATTAATATTAATCTTTCTTTATTTTCTAATAATATCATATTATTTAATATCTTATTTTGATTTAACTATATCTTTACTATTTTTTATTTGTTAATATATTTTATAGTAAAAAATGATTTATTCTTAACTATTTTAGTAATAATATTTCTTCTCATTTTTATATTATCAGAGACTAATTAGCTTTAGAATTCTTGAAAAAGTAAGTTTTGTTTACTGATAGAGTTTGTTTTTCTTGATGAATTATATTTAACTTTTAATTTTTTTATTAATAATTAGTTTTTAAACCAGAAAAGATATATAATAAGATTAACTTGTTTAAAAAGTTAGTATTATAAAAGATATCTATAAATATTAACATAATAAATTAGTTATTATAATATTCTTCTACTCTTTAAATTTTACTTATTTTGTAAAAAATAAAATTAATATTTATATTCTCTATTTTTATTATTCACATTTTTTTTTCTTATAATTTCTATCAAAAAAAGAAAGAAAGAAATAGATATTGTTTACTATAGTAACTTAGAAAAATTGAAAAAATAAATTCAGATTTAGATAATAAATTTAGAATTTGTAATTAATTCAAGTATCTTTATTCATGTTTACAATTAGTACTTTTTCTAGCTAAAGATCTTAATATTTTATGATAAAGCACTTTAATCAATTAATTAATAAAATCAATATCTTTTTTGAATTAAAGATTTCAATTATTAATTCAAATAATAATTATTACAAAATAAGAGTTTACAAATTTTAATTTACTTGTAGAAAAATTATATATAATTAATTCAAAGTTTTATTAACATTCTTGAAATTTATATATTTTCAAATTATATTATTGCTATATGATAAAAGATAATTCAAAAAATTATTTAGAATTATTAAATAAAAATTATTATTTTGCCAAATAATTTTCTTTACAAATTGCTATTAATTGAAAATTAAGCTAATAATATTTAACTTAAGAAATCTAATTTTATTAATAAAATTCAAATCTAATTATATAATTATATTTTAATTAATTTATAAATGTAAAAAAATATATATAAGTTGATAATAAATTAATTATTATCAAAATATCAACAAATAAAGAAATAATTATAACTATAAAAGATTATAATTATAATAAATTAGAAAAGAACAATGTAATAATTTTCACATACTCTTGTAATTTCTTGTATCATGTCTATTCTTTTTCGTGTTATGTTTATCATTTCTTGCATAACATGTTAGAAATTAACACAGATCTACATTAATACTTCTTAATGTTTCGCTAATTAGATTAAATGTAAAATGTAGATCATATTATTAATTTGGATACACATTATTTTTAATTACTTTTATTTTTATTCGTTCTTTTTCTTTTTCTTTTATTA